GGGGAGGCCTATGATCAGCAATGGACATGTGAAGGGCTGTAATGATGATGATGATATCGGAAGCCCAAAGTGGGTGGGGCAGGCTTGTCACAATTAGGGACAGTAGAGCCTAATTGACTGTCATTTGCACGATCAAATTGTCGCGAGCTTACGAATCGCTGCTTAAGGTGGATGCTCCAATAGCCCACCCATACATTTTGTCTAGACGTACTACGTTGAAAGAAGAAATGCGTTGCCAAACTTCGTTCGCTTGTTTGACTGTATTAAAATAAAATAAAAATTGGTTTTACATTAACTTTTCATATACTTCTTTATTTTGCATAAAACCATTTGATGAACTATTTGATTCTTTTATTAATTTCTTTACGAATTAATAGACATTTAGGAATTTTTTTTTACGAATTCTGTTTGGTAGCAACGCTGCCTGCATCCAAGAGGCAACGTCGTATCCAGCTGGTAGCAACGCCTCAACGTCTCATATACGGCGGGTCAAGGCCAAGCCAAAGGTATATTATGACGTCGACACAGGCGTCATCGTCATCAAAGACGCCGCCTGCCCTTTTCGGGTTGAAGTCTTCGATTTGGTGATCGATGTTTGCAGCACGTGCAAATTAAATGAGTATTTTTAACTATTTTTTTATTTAATGTAAGTTGTATTTAAAAAATGGATGCAGGTTAAAATAATTACAAATATTACAATAAAATATTTATAATGATTAAATACAAATTAGCAGTAATTGAATAAAGATATTAAGGTATAATGGTTCAATAAAAATGTTAAAATACAAATTTAAAAATTAACCTTACCTAGGTACTTGTCCGTGGATGGCGGTGATTATCCTGCACATAGCGTTCAAAATAATCACCTCCACATTCTATGCATAGGTGACACCTAAAACTTAACTATTCACCGACACGATGATGATGATGATGATGATTCATTTTGATTTGATCGAATGCCAAAATTATTTTTTCTTTCAACATGTCGCAGGTTTCGAATGCGCGACCAGTATACACTAATGTCTTTACATGCCCCCACAAATAAAAATCCATTGGTCTGATATCTGGCCATCTGGGAGGCCATACACAAGACCCGTCATGACCGATCTAGCGACCAGGGTATTCTCTGTTCAAATAATCCTTAACTTAGCGAGCATAGTGCGCCGGCACCCCGTCATGTTGGTAATACATATTGCGTAGAGGTGCAAGTGGTATGTTCTCTAACAACTCCGGCAGCGTGTCAGTCAGAAAACTATGATAGCTTTCACCGTTTAAGCTTTCTATGAAGACCGGGCCCAGTAACGTTGTATTAATAACGCCTGCCCACACGTTGACACTAAACCGGTGTTGAAAGCTATGCGGTCTTGGTTCATATGGATTTTCATAGCACCACAAGTGTTCATTGTGCGAATTAAATAGTCCTATTCTGCCAAATGTTGCTTCATCAGTCCATAAAATGTTAGCTCGTTGAGCAGCTAGTAACCAGTTACAAAATGTCATTCGTGCTGGTTTGTCAGCTTCGCTGAGTTCATTAACACGATGCAGGTGGAAAGGATACTTCCCTTCATTGTGTATGACACTCCATGCGTAGTACTGTGACACATTGAACTGTCGAGCTGCCTCATAAGTGCTCGCTGCTGGATTTTGTTCAAAAAACTGCACTATGTCTTCATGCTTACGTACTGTGCGCTGCGGTGGATGACCACGATCGATTCATACAGGCTGGAATAGCCCGTAATCTCGCAATCGCTGTGTAGTTCCTAGCATCGTAGCGTAGCTCAGTGACCGTGAGTTGGGAAATCGCCTTGAATATTCACGGCAGGCTTCACTAACGTTATCATTGCAAATTGCTAAAATTCGCACCATTTCGGTATACTCAACATTTAAGTATCGGTAAGCTTTCGTAACAATGTATCGATCGCGATATTAATCTCACAACGCAAGGAGAAATGTCGCGGGCGCACCAAAGGCGACTGACGACACAGGTAATAAAAGCCTGTTTTCACTTTGATTAGTGCGAGAGCAGGTGATTAGTAATTGCGGTTAATTAGTGCAGGTGTGTAGTGTAAGTAGTGTCCAATTCTGTTTAGTGGATGTATTTAGTAAATTCAGTTGTTAGCAGTCGACCAGGAAGTATGGACATTTTTTAACAAAAGCGAGCGTCCGACGCTAAACGCTAAACACTTAGCACTGCTGTCCAAATGTGTTTAGTGGCACGCATGCTGCGAGTGAGGCGAAAGGAAGGGTGCGCGGGGCGTGACACTCGCAGTCCACTCGCAAAAAAATAGAACACGCTTCTAATCACTTTACTACACAGGTTTTTAATCACTTGCACTAATCAATCACGGTCCACACGTGTTTACTCCTAAACACTAAGCACCTGCACTAATCACCTGCACTAATCACTAATCAAAGTGAAAACAGGCCTTTAAGTCAAGTTCAAATGAGCAAGCGCCACCTCCTACACCCCTCCACCCTTACTCCGCCACGCGCTTTCTTTTGCTATTTAGGACTATTGCCGTTTAGAAGGTACAATTAAAATATTTTTATTTTTGTATGAAAATAAAAATTGAAGAAATGTATTTTTTTTCTTACAGATGTTGTTGTTATGATGTAAATAATATATTCCCAAAAGGTCTTCAGTGAATTAAAAATTACCCTGTATATATTGAATGAAAGTTAAAATAACGAATTTCGTCTTCTTTTCCAATTTCTATATCTTGTGAAAGTAAAGATATTACTGTATTTATAACAAACTGGCTGTTGCCTACGGCTTCGTTCGTTTTTTTTTTTTGGATAACAAGCCTGTAGCCCTCAGGCATACTGTAGCTTCCTATTAATGAAATATTTATTGATTGAATTGGGATAAGTAGTTTCAGAGATTAGCGCGTTCAAACAAACAAACTCTTCAGCTTTTTAATATTAGTATAGTATAAATATTTGTATTATATGTATAGAGATATTTTTTTATTTTTATTATTTACGGTAAGTAGTAAATACTTACCGTAAATAATAAATACATATAAAAATATCTATACTGCTTTAAAGATAAAAGTGTTTAATCTTTATACATAAAAATTACGTGAGTTTGTCTGCGATGAACTCCTAAACTACTGAACTGATTTCAATGAAATTTGCACACTCTGTGCAGTATGGTCCAACTTGAGAGATAGGATAGTTTTCATCCTGATAAGTGACACACAATATTTTTTATTACGAATTTATGGTTTTTTATATGAAGGGTCGTCGAAAATGGCAGAACAACGTCTGCCTGTCTAGCTAGTTATGTATATAAACGGCTACACACACATCTACAAGAACCAATTTCCATAGCAACTTCTTCTGACGGTAAAGATATGTTAGTAGGACCATGAATATCTATCAAGCTGAAAAATATGATTATTATTTTAAATTTGTAACATTTATCATCCAAATAAATAAGTACATATTATAATATAAAACACTGAATATAAAATTATTGGTACCAAATAATTCTTTGCTCCCATATCAACCCCCAAAGGTTCACAGTTAGAGGAACACGGTTGATCTAAAGCCGGTTTGGTCTGAAATTAAAAACAAAAAGGACATGAGCTTGCGATTAATTGCTAATATGATCAATATATAAGAATTTTTTGAATGAATTAGAGCCTGTGCGGAAAGAGAACCGTCGTAGAATTGAGGACACAGCTGTGCTTAGTTACCTTTTCCTCCGTTAGCAATGCTAATAGCGCGCGAGTTCGACGTATTTAAATTCAAAATTTATTTCAATTTAATATTCAGAATGGTTTGTAACCATGAGAAACGTAGTTATATTTATGGTTCTATTAATAATAAGCTAGTATATTGTTATTTCACTTGTTATCTGCAATGTTTCTCTATCCGCATACTATATTTAAATTTTTGGTGTTTAGGGACTTAATAATTGGTTCAAAGTATTCCACTCACTTACACTTAAGCACACATTAAAAATTCATCAAAAATAATGTTGATAATAACAATATTATCAACGTTATTTTTGTCGACAACTAGTTGTGACGATTAAAATTATTTGTGACTTGGTTATTTTGTAACAGTAATTTCCACGTTTCAAAGTTAATTGAACGTGTAGAACAAAAAGTAATATATTTACTTTACCTGGATGAAGAGTATGGAATATATTAATATTTTAGTCACTATCACAGACTAATAAGTTGATACTACGCATGCACATACGCATGTCACTTCGTTTTAGGTTGCTTGGCTTGCTAGCACTTGCTAGGTACATATATATTTATTTATCTTTGGTTTTAGGTAGGTAGCATCACCTAAGTGTTTTGTGGGTAACAATATTTGTTAAAGTGGCAATAACTTCATTCTAGTTAGTAATCTGTGGAGTTTTGGCGGGAAATTGACCGGCAGTGGTTTGCTGCTCCTGTATTATTGTTTAAATAATGGTTTGAAGTGGACTTTGATATGTAAAAGTGTTGCGATTTTGTGTATTAACTGTCTACGCATGTGAACTATTAGTGGAAACAGTGAAACAAGTGCTCTGATGGTGATGGATTCTCAAGATAAGCTGTTTGTTTGCATAGGCACCTTTAGATACCATCGCCAACTATCAGCTGTCTGCTGGATCAAGTTGCCGCCAAAATCTCCCAAGAACTGCACAATGTGACGCATCAACATATTGTGAAGCAGTATACTATGAAGGAGTGGGGAAATTACAATAAACCGAATAAAAATACTTAAGACTTGGCCTAAAGGTCTAGATACCAGGCCATAAACTCCAAAAAAAAAAAATAGTAATCTGTGATTCTGTGAAGTATACTCAACCGAATAACCAGAAACAACCAGAAAGAAGAAAACACGTTAAACTTGACGTGGACTTAACTAGCTGGCCCATTTCCTAAACATCAAAGAGTTTAGGCTAAGCATTAATGCACTGGAATTCTAACTTCTTGGGTATTGTAAAACTATAGTTTTGTTTCAATAACTAGCTATATGTTATATTTTAAAAGAAAATGGGTCTAAATAACGTAAGTGCATTTAATTTTGCGTATGAAAAGAACAATTTGACAGACATTTTCCGGAATCGGTATTATGTGGTGGTGCATATTTTAGTGATTATTTGCTTTTTATTTCACAGAAAATGTACGGTTTACTGTGTGTGGTGCTGCTATCCTTACTTCCAAGTCAAAATGCAGATGCGGCAGCTGTAATATCTATTGATTTTGGGTCCGAATGGATGAAAATCGGTATTGTATCACCTGGTGTACCAATGGAGATTGTGTTAAATAAAGAGTCAAAACGTAAAACAAATGCCGTATTAGCACTGAGAGACGGTGTGCGAACATTTGGGGAAGACGCTGTTACAGTGGGCGTAAGATTTCCGAAGAACACATACAAGTATTTACTAGATCTGCTAGGAAAATCCTACGATCATCCATTGGTAAAAGCTTATAGGTAAGTTAAGCCATTCTGTATATTCAAAATGAACATATATATCTTTCTATGGACCCATTGGAACATCATTTTAAATTATTTTTATGTAATTTTTTAAATGCAATAAGATATTTTTCATGTAGATTTATATGATTTTTCAGGGAACGCTACCCCTATTATGACATAGAGGCTTCAGATCGTGGCACTCCTGTGTTTATACATGATGAGAATACTAAGTTCACACCTGAGGAGCTTGTTGCACAACTCTTAGCCAAGGCAAAAGAGTTTGCTGAGATCAGTCATGGTTTGTAATAATCATTTTAATTACTTTCATTAAGAGCTGACTTAGACCTGTTTCTGCTTTGGCTAGGTTTAACTGATGTCGATACTACATACAGTTTTTATAGTAAGCTATTGTCAAGTCCAATTTTTCCCTTTTTCAATTATGTAAAAGAAAAATAGTAGTAGTTGAACTGTTAGCTCATTTGTTTGCTAATAATTTAAAATTTGTAAAAGATCACTATTAAATTATGAAAAATAGTTTAATAGTGATCTTTTTACAAATTAGAGATATTAATGAAAATTTTCTAAAACTTTTTTGCAAGGACTGGCCTGTGGGAATATTTTTTTGCTGTACACTATAATTGTATACTGTTGCACAGTATGACCATTCCATAGTCCATTGTTTGTCCATTCTCCATAATTTGTTGTTTAAAAATGTTTACTAAACAACATTCAATACCATTTGAATTTTCAATGTCTGTGCTTTCTCTCTATCTGATATTTTATACAATTTCAGTACAATGTGTACAGTGTGTATCTTCATCAGCCCATGAAAGTCCTATCCTGGACATGGGAATATCCAATAGCACACTGGGCAGGTAGATTGACAATCACAGTACTAGATATTTTACACCTTTGATACTTGCCTGTCACTAGTCCTGGTATTTAACATCTGGCATAAACAAGATGATTATATTGAAGCCATGAGATTCTTCTCTTAGTCACCTCTTACAACACCCATGTTTTCATACTTAATTGTATAAATATTTTATTGTAAATTAATGCCTTAAAAAAAGGTCCACTGGGATTAATTTTCCTAGTTTGGCAACTTCCAATGGATTCTGCCAGCCGCAAGTATTTCATGAGAGTCGCACAGAGTATTGACTAGTTTCCGTTTCCGTAGATGCGCTTACTTAGCTTTATGTTACGAACTTACTTATGTAGTTATTTTCGAATGAATTAACATTATAATAGTTTTAAAAAATTATTGCTAATATAATAAAATGGATATAGGTAAGTGGCAAAAGTACAATAGTTTAATGTTATTAATGGATATGAAGTCTAATAAAGTTTGTACAAAAGGAGTGTAAACTAAATTTAACAAAGACTTAAGATTAAGAAAATTGTATAATGAAAGGGAGTGGTTAGGGCAGTCAAAAAGTTTATTGCTTGTTCTTCCCAGGACAGATTTTTTTCCAAACCAGTGGTATAGCTTAAATGACTTTCAATGAGTAATCTTGTAGTTATTATTTAATAAAAATTATTCTATTTTACTCTATTCACGGTTTGAAGTGGACACATGAATCCACACTCACACACTACATGGCCACTACTCTACATAGTTTTTATAATGCTTGTATTTATGTCATTGGTGTATTTTCAGGGCAACCCATTACTGAATGTGTTATAACAGTGCCTGGTTATTTTAATCAGGCGGAGAGAAGAGCATTAAAGGATGCAGCGGCACTTGCTGGACTTAATGTGCTGCAACTTATCAATGACTATACTGCCATTGGTATTAACTATGGCATATTTAGGCGAAAGGTAATATATCAGATTTTTTTTTAAGTACTCTACCTCTGTTTTAATTTTCATTTAAAGTTTTAATAGATACATTAAAAGTGCATTTTTTTTTTCAAATATTAGTTTTAATTATTTAATACAAACAATGGTTTGATGGAGTAATATTATGTATCCCGTTTGGTTTCTATAATCATATTATAATTTGTTATTATTTATATAAAACTTTTGTTTATATTTATGATTTCATTTTAATTTCTAGTTAAATAGATAAATAACAAAGTATTGAAATTGGTGCAGCTAGTTATTAAAAGCTGTTTTTCATACTTAACAAAAATATACCTTTTGGTGATTTTCATACTTTTTCTTTTGCAAAAAAATATCTTTTGGTACTTCCAGGAAATCAATGATACCCCGTGGTATACCCTGTTCTTTGATATGGGTGCTGTTTCAACTAAAGCAGCTTTGGTTGAGTACAAGACAGTGAAGATTAAGGAGAAGGGCTATGTTGAAACTGTACCACAATTGCAAGTTATTGGAGTTGGATTTGACAGGTAATTATAATAAATTAAGGTAATAACAATTTTGTTTTTACTCTTTTATTTAATTTTTAGACACATTAATAGAATCAGGTGTTACTTTGTGGAAATCCATTATATTAAAATTGAAAAAATTTACTTTGCCAATATCCACTCAATAAAATAAAATGATGTCTTACCTAGTTTGAAGAGCACCTCCTGCCTTCCCTCAATTGCGTGCACTATCCCCGTCACCGCTAATCCCAGCACCACTACTCCCACCACCACTACACTAGGAAAGACACCGACGACAATGCGCCACGTGTTTCGCCGCTACACGAGGCATCTACAGGTGTAGTAGACTACGGTGGCTGACCGTTAAGTGAAATTACACTCCCCGCTTGGTGACGGGGATAGTGCACGCAATTGAGGGAGGGCAGGAGGTGCTCTTCAAACTAAGTAAGACATCATTTTATTTTATTGAGTGGATATTGGCAAAGTAAATTTTTCGAACTTGAACACATGTTATGTTTACACTATAAAAATATGCTTACAGTTATTGCTTTAACTAGTGAAAGGGATTATTTTAGATCTCTTACACAATCATTTCTGAAGTCTATGTTTTAATGTTATTACAGAACTTTGGGTGGATTTGAAATGACATTACGGCTTCGTGAGCACCTGATTAAGGCTTGGGAGGCAAATGGAGGTGGTAATGTTAGAGCTTCCCCCCGGGCTATGGAAAAACTGCTTAGAGAAGCCGAGAGATTGAAAATAGTATTATCAGCAAATACAGAACACTATGCGCAGATTGAGAATCTTATGGATGACAAGGACTTCAAAGTTTTGGTAAGATTACTGACTAAAATAGATTATTACTAATTTATTATTATCAGTTTGGTTACTAACACCCCTACTAAAAATGGTGTTACAGCTTTTTGCAACCAGATTTTGGTTGTCTTTGGGCTACAACCAGTGGACACTTTGCGTATTAACAATGTGGGGACATTTGTTGTCAACAGTGAAAGCTATTGTAGCTAGCTAAGTAGTCTTTTTACTTAAATTCGTTAATTAAAAAAAAAACTTCAAAATTAAAGTTAAGAAAATTATGTGTGTGAGTCTATCCTCTCTCCTGTCTAGTATAGGGGATTTTGTTTCGGCAGTTTGCTGTATGCTATTTGATGACTACTGTACATGGGCTGGTTTTTTAAAATAATAGAGTTTAATTTGGTAACATCTTGTGCAAAATAAACTACATATTTATATTTAGCAAATTTTTCTGCGGAAATGGGACCTGGTGCAATCCCTTTAAATCTAAACATTTATTAAATGCATAAACCAATTAATATTTTCAAGTTTCAGTGAAAGTTCACTGGAAAACTACTCTTAGGTTGAATCACTTTTAAAGTATTGATGAATTCCCAACTTTATCACCACCTGTCTGTTCAAATCCTTAAAATTGCATATTTGGTGTAGTCAAGGATTGTGCCGACTGGAAGTCCATAGTCTTTTTCTACCCTTCTAAGTGACAGTTGTTATAGTAAATATATGCATCTATGTATATTATAATGTGCTGTGTATACTTATTCTTTAACCATGTTAGAACATGATGAAATTCTTTATTAATAATTCTTCAGATGCAAAATTTTCAAATTGCTTATTTTGGTATATTAGAATAATTATTGCCACATTCTCAGGTGACAAGAGCAGAATTTGAAGAGCTGTGTTCAGACTTGTGGGCGCGAGTGTCGGGTGTAGTTCAACGGGCTGTAGCGGCGGCGTCGGGCTCCGGTGGAGGCGCGAAGCTGGTACTTGCGGGGGGCGCATCTCGAACTCCCGCTGTACACGAAGCACTTCGCAAAACAGTGGGACATGATCCGGCTCGGTCGATCAATGCAGATGAGGCTGCTACTATGGGAGCTGTGTATAGGTAAACAATAAGTATTGGATTTTATATTACAATGTAAGTAGTGTATTTTAAGATATGTACTTTTGGTTTTGCTGTAACAGTATAATGTGACTCGACCCTCTATCGAAACACACATCCTATGTGATGATTACATGCACCTAAAGTAATATAGTGTCTCACTGACTAACTATGCTGGGTTTATATATACTGGAACACAAAACTGGATACATTGCACTTTTTTTTTGTGAAAGAAACAGACAAGAGAGTGGTATTTAACCAGTATGATTACACTACACTACACAACTAATTTTTCGAAACAAATTTAAAGTGATTACAGAAGGGATGTAAATATCCATTTTTTGTTAATAGGGCGGCTTCCCTCGCTACAGGCTACAAAGTGGCTCCATTGAATGTTCGTGATGCTGTGTTACTGCCCATCCAAGTGGTTTTTACCAGAAACGTCGATGGTACTGATAAATTGGTATGTAACATTTATTAGTGATCTATCTAAAATAATTTGTGCTTGACAAATCATCATCGTCATTACAACCCTTCACAAGTCCTTTGCTGAACATAGGCCTCCCCCAAGGAATGCCACAAATCACGATCGTTAGCCACCTGCATTAATCGACTTCCTGCATGCCTTACCAGGTTGTCACTCCATCTAGTGGGAGGATGCCCTACACTTCGCCTGCCAGTGCGAAGCTGCCACTCAAGAACCTTTCTTCCCTATCGGTTTTTCGAGCTTTATGGTTGGCCCATTGCCACTTCAGCTTACTAATCCATTGGGATATGTCGGTTACTCTTCTGGTTCTACTGCCGATATCCTCGTTTTTAAGTCTATCACGCAGAGAAACCATAGTCCTCTCCATAGCTCGCTGAGCGACCTAGAACTTCCTCGCCACTTCAGCTTACTAATCCATTGGGATATGTCGGTTACTCTGGTTCCACTGCTGATATCCTCGTTTTTAAGTCTATCACACAGATAAACCATAGCCCTCTCCATAGCTCGCTGGGCGACCTAGAACTTCCTCATACGGCCAGCAGTGAATAACTACGTCTCAGGTTCATAAGTCATCTTTGGCAACACGCACAGGTTCAACAATCCTGTTTTGAAGTTTTGAGGTATATGCCTGATCGCTACCCTATATCTTCCCGTGGGTGTCGTAAGAGGCGACAGAGGGGAGAACTGAGTCAGAAGACGGGCAGCAGCATCTTCCTGATAACAGCAAAGTAATAATAAAAAAACTGCGGCAATATACCCCCCATGCTTAAATAAGGAATTGGAAAGTTGAGATTCAAAATAAGGAATTTACTGATGTTACACCCCAGTGCCTTGGAAAGTACATAAAGCTGTTGGTTTTGCGCTTGTCCTTACTGAGTCGTATCGGATTGCCGTCCTATCAGACTAAGTGAGTGGGGGAATAGATAGTGCACCTGTGCTTGTACACACTCCCATGCATTAAAATCCTGTCCTGCGTGGATGGCTAATACCATATCTGGAATTTGATCTGGAGGAAATTATAATTAATTTATACTTTAGTCTGGAATTTCCATTGAGACTAGCTACTATATCTGGGATTTGGTCTGGAGGAAATTATAATTAATTTATGCTTTATCGATGAGAGTTGTAATCTTTTTACTGCTTTGCTTATGACTAATACTCTATCCATTTTTTTCAGGAACTGGTAAGATTCCGAATTTTTTAACTATAAAATAACCTGTGTGACATTGTTTGCCTTTCAACTAATCCTTATAATGTTAACTTTAATTTTTAATATGTTTCTCATTTTATTGAAACTTTCTCTTAAAATGGTACAGTAGTATAAATTATTAATGTGAATAACAAAAAAAAATCTTTGTTACAGATCAAGAGAACACTCTTTGGTCCTATGAATCCCTATCCACAAAAGAAGGTAATAACCTTTAATAAACATACAGATGATTTCACATTCTATGTAAACTATGCTGAATTAGATCACATACCATCTACTGAGCTTAATTATGTAGGAACATTGAACCTAAGTCAGGTGGTCTTAACTGGTGTAAGAGACGCTTTAAGCAAGCATTCTGGGGAAAATATCGAACATAAGGGCATCAAAGCTCATTTCAATATGGATGACTCTGGTATTCTCAATTTGGTGAATGTTGAATTCGTAGCCGAGAAGACTGTAACTGAAGAAGACGAAGATAAAGACAGTACTCTGTCTAAAATAGGTAGCACTATAAGTAAATTGTTTAGTTCCGATTCTGAAACACCTGAGAAAGCCGAAGAAAAAGGCGATGAAAAACCAAAGGAACCAGAAAAGAACGAAACTAAAGCTAATGAAACAACAACAGACAAACAAAATGCTACTGATACTGAAACAAAGCCAAAACCAAAGGTAGTAGTACTAAAAGAGCCGATCAAGAATGAGGAGCAAGTCCTTAATTTACAACCATTGTCTCCTGAACAATTTAAAACATCAAAATCTAAAATCAAAGAATTGAATGTTATTGATAAGAAACGAATTGAAAGAGAAACTGCTCTCAATAATCTAGAAGCCTTCGTTGTTGATGCCCAAATGAAAGTAGATATGGAGGAGTACGCCGAATGTGGAACTGCGGAGCAAATTGAAGAAATTAAAAAATTGTGTAGTGAAATATCGGAATGGTTATATGAAGAGGGTTATGAAGCTGAAACAGAGACTTATGAGGCCAAATTGACGTTATTGAAAGATAAAACTAATCCTATTTTCTATAAACACTGGGAACACAGAGAAAGGCCAGACGCAGTAGCCGCGATCCGTAGCATGCTTAATAGTTCCCAAGAATTTCTTAAAATGGCTAAGAACTACACTAAGGAAGCTAATTCAGAGCGCGATGTTTTCACAGATGTTGAAATCGGCGTATTAGAAAAGAAAATTGATGAAACTGAATCTTGGCTGAATAAGTCGATAGAAGAACAGAACCAATTGAAAAAGAATGATGACATTAAATTAACTGTTGATAGCATTAGAGAGAAAATGTCCAATTTAGACAGGGAAGTTAAGTATCTTGTTAACAAGATGAAAATATGGCGGCCTAAGAAGCCTGCTAAAAAGGAAAGTGATAACAAGACAGAGAATATAATAGAAACTGAAATAAATGAAGCAGAGCAAAAAGAGAAAGTGGAAGATGGAAAAGAGAAAACTGAAAACCAAGATGAGAAACCAGAAATTTCATCTGAACAGATGGTAGATACTGGAGGCGAAAAGGAAGAAATGCCGCAAATATCTGACGGCACTCCCGAACATTCCGAATTATAATAGTGAGGTGTATAATTTAATTTATTAGTTTAATTTATTTTTTTACTTTAAACTCTAAATGGAATTTGTTCACTTTTCACATATATTTTATAAAAGGTTACGCACAAAAGTTAGTTATTATAAAAGTGTAAACATCAAAATGAAGTAACTTCAACGAAACTTGTAATCTAAATTGTTTGTCATCTTAATGTGTTAAAAATATTGTGAAAAGGTAACAAATTCAAAGATACACGATTAAAATCTCAACATCAATTATATTGGCCGCCTCTTCATTTCCATTGCTTTTTTTTGATGCAACATAGACGTTGGGTGTAGAGTCCACATTAGCTTAAAAATATATAAAACCACATTAGTCAAATTCTTATTTCAGAAATTGTTTTGAAGTAAACTTTAGTAGGTCAACAAATGTTCATAGAGAAATAATATATTGTTTAATTTATTAGTTCTTATTATGGGTCTCAAAACTAATTTGATTAATATATACATATTTCGTGCCGTGGTAGTTCAGGGGTTAGCCCCTCCCTGTAAATTTTACACTACGCGAGCAAACCAGGTTCGAGCCCCGCAGGCACCAATGAAATTGTTAACTTAATTAATAGAATCAGGCGTTACTTTGCGGAAATCCATTATATAAAAGCATTTAAAAATATACTTCGCAAACATCCGCGCTATAAAATAAAATGATTTGTCTTACCTAGTACGAAGAGCACCTCCCGCCCTCCCTCAATTGCGTGCACTATCTTCGTCACCACGTCCGGGAGTAGCGGTGCTGGGATTAGTGGTGACGGAGATAGTGCACGCAATTGGGGAGGGCGGGAGATGCTCTTCATACTTTTTAGACACATCATTTTATTTTATAGCGCGGATGTTTGCGAAGTAAATTTTTTAAAAGCTTTTAAATTGTTAATTGCAATTTTAAACGCTGATTTACCTCATACTCGGCGATGAAGGAAAACGTCGTGAGGAAACCTGAGTCTGAGAAATATGAAAAAAATATTTCGAGGATGTGATGTTCGCTAACACGCATTGGGGCAACGCGGCGGACATTTCCTTGCCCTAAAAAAACCCCTCTCAGAAATGAGAGGCAGCCTGTGTCCAGTAGTGGGACACATATAGGCTGTAACTATACATATGTATAGTATAAATATATTTTATAAATATTTTACGCACTTCGCGTCTATGGTGCTTCAATCCTAATTAAAAATTTGTTCCGTAACTTTATTGTTTCGTTTTTATTTTGATTGTTTATTATAGCGGCTCGTCGTCCAAATTGGTTTCTTATTTCTGCAAAGGTCCCCAAAATGAATGATTATACAGCGCGAGAACGTATTGTATTTATTAATGTAAACTTTGTGATATAGAGTGACTGTATATTTGTGAGAATATGGACTGTTTTTCTGATTCAGGCAATGCTGTTTTAGTAGTTTTATATAAATACATACTTACAAGTTCTTTCTTAGACATTTAATTATAAATATTGCTATAAAATAGTTTTGTGTTGTGTGTATATGTGTGCATTCACCAGTGTCATTTGTGCATTTATCCTATTTCATTGCAACTGCGTAGTTTCAACAGCTACATATTATTATTAAGATTTATATTATAATCTCCTTGGACATGGTTTTTACCGAGTTATATTTATTTAGTTACATAAGTATATATTTCTAAAATTATATCCACATTGAAATAAAGCGAGGAATTTTCTTACAAAGTTGTTCGTTGCTATTTCTATCTCAGTTGAGGCTGCGTTTCCACCAGTAGCGATACGGTACGCGAGTAAAATATCCATCAATAAAATTATTTGAATTTTCTAGCCTCGCTATATTGCAGCTTTGGTGAAAAAGGGCTTAATGGTGTAAGAGTAGATTTTGTACATACAAAACAAGCGAGAATTGTGTTCGTGGGGCGCGAGTGAGGGAGGCGTGCTAAATATATATGAGTGGAATGTTTGTGGGCCGGTATGACAGCCGCATATATATACTCTTCCTCGCACATTTATAAAAAGTTCGCTTCGCATCCTCGTTCCTCGCACACCTCTGATGGAAACGCAGCCTAATGCTTAGATTTGTCGCGGCTCTATTTTAAAGAAAAATATCAACTGTTCTTATAAAATGTCAGTATCAGAAAACAGTTTACGTTGATTTAAGTATAAGATGCAATGTAATTGAGATTTGTTCGATACCCAGTCGCAAATAAAAATGAATTATTGAAAGAACATGAAATTGTTGTTTTATTGTCTATACCTAATGTGTGTACTGAGTACGTAAGCGTGCCGTGTAGTGGCGGTGTAAAAAATCCACGACCCAATGTTTTGTGGGCATCGTTAGAGGCAACTTTGAGGGAAATGCATATGCATATAAATGCATATGCAATGCGATCAAGCGTATATATTTTGGCTAATTCTGCCTTCAATAAGAAAGTCCCATGTTCAGCTGTGGACTTCAAATGGCAACATTACGGGCTGATGAGGTATGTACTAGAGGTGGTAAAAAATCGGAATTCCCGTGAGGACTAAGTTGGAATGCCTCTTTTCCAGTAAAAAAGGTCTCCGGTTCTCTACACTCACTAGGTTTTGGGTCCCGGGACGTCTCGTGTCTCGAAGTCCCGGGACTTTTCGTAATTTTAGTTGTCTCGAGTCTCGGGACTTTCGGGTCGAGACAAGATTGTCGAAATTGTTATGTAATCATTTTTATATTCAAATAATTGAAGGAGCCTAGCGCCATGTGTTAGTTTAATGAATAATTACTTGGTCTACTACGTAACTACTGAGTACGCAACACAATAAATTAATCAAATATGTGATTATGAGAATTAGCAATGAGATTATGAACAATGATTAGATACTAGAATTACTAGATAATAGTAAAGTTCTTAAAAATTAGTATGATTTTTAACTAAGTTTGTTTCATAACTATAAGATTTAACTGTTTCGAAGTGCATCTGTGTGTGACTAAAAGAAATAAACAAAGCAATTATTAAGACTGAAATTAACGTTAAAGTTATTTAGTTTTCTGTTTAATTAATGATTTCTTATATTTACGCGAACACTACACACTACTACAGGGATTTTATCGCGTTTAATTTACTATTTTAATTCCCAACGTTATGGCTGTACTTCCCTATGTCAGAGGAGTCACAGACAAGGTTGGCTACATTTTGCAGCGAGCTTCTATTAAAACATACTTCAAGCCGCAGAAGAAGATTAGTCAATTTTTACCATCCGTCAAGTTTAATATCCCTCTACAAGATACAGGAGTGTACAAGCTTGATTGCGAATGTGGTCTCTCTTACATAGGACAAACAAAAAGATCCATTAAAACCTACGTGAAAGAACATATAGCTGACGTGAAGCACCGACGCTCTGGGAAGTCTGCAGTCTGTGAACATGTTTGTGATCGTCCCCGCCATTACATCAGATTTGATAGACCACAAATCCTCGCTAAAGAACACCGATTCCTTCCAAGGTTGATACGCGAGGCTATTGAAATTAAAAAAAAAACATCTTAATTTCAATAGAGAAAATGGATGGGTGCTGCCATCTGCTTGGGATCCTATAATTAACAAAATTAAATCCAAACCCAAGCATACCAATGCAAGATTTCAAGATATTGTAAGTTCATTCTGCGTAAATCGAACCTAAAATTAATATTAAAAAACAGAAGGTAGCCGGGCTAACTGCGACATCAGGACGTCAAACATCCCAGTCCCCCCCGTGACCATGTATTGCTGTAAAGCACCCGAAACGTCGGGAATTAAAATAGTAAATTAAACGCGATAAAATCCGTAAAAAATAGTTTTATTCATCATCATCATCATCATCATTACAGCCCTTCACAAGTTCACTGCTGAACATAGGCCTCCCCCAAGGAATGCCACAAAGCACGGTCCTGAGCCACCTGCATCCATCGACTTCATGCATATCTTACCAGGTCGTCACTCCATCTAGTGACGGGACGCCCAACACTTCGCCTGCCGGTACGAGGCTGCCACTCGAGAACCTTTCTTCCCCATCGGTTGTCGGTTCTTCGAGCTATATGGCCGGCCCATAGCCACTTCAGCTAACTAATCCGTTGGGCTATGTCGGTCACTCTGGTTCTACTGCGGATATACTCATTTCTAAGTTTATCACGTAGAGAAACCCCGAGCATAGCCCTCTCCATAGCTCGCTGAGCGACCTTGAGCTTCCTCATCCGGCAAACAGTGAAGGACCACGTCTCAGTTCCGTATGTCATCACTGGCAACACGCACTGGTTGTACAGTCTCGTTTTCAAGTTTTGAGGTATACCTGACGAGAAGATGTGCCGTAATTTCCCGAATGCTGCCCAACCGAGTTGAATCCGTCGATTGACCTTTCGGTCGAAGTTGGACTTACCTAGTCGGACTATTTGTCCCAGGTAAACATACTCGTCAACAACTTCGAGCTTAGTGCTCCCAACAACTATCGGCATAGGTGTGACATGGACATTAAACATGATCTTTGTTTTGTCCATGTTCATCTTAAGACCTATCCGTTGGGAAGCACTATTGAGGTCATTGAGCATAGTGCTTAGGTCGTCCAGCGATTCTGCCATAAGGACTATATTGTCGGCAAATCGAAGGTGAGTGATGTACTCGCCATTGATGTTGATACCGTATCCTTTCCAGTCCAGAAGCTTGAAAACGTCTTCCAATGTAGCGGTGAAGAGTTTCGGGGATATGACGTCACCCTGTCTTACACCTCTCTGCAATTGGATAGGTTTCGTACTCTGGTTCTGTACTCGGATAGCCATCGTAGCCCTACTGTACAAGCACTTCAGCACTTCGATATACCGATAGTCCACTTGGCACTGCTGAAGGGACTGCAGCACCGCCCAAATTTCGACGGAATCAAAGGCTTTCTCATAGTCCACATACGCCAGACATAGTGGCAAATGGTACTTCTCTTACTTTTGTAAAATTTGCCGAAGGGTATGTATGTGGTCTATGGTGCTAAAGCCTTTTCGGAAACCGGCTTGTTCGGG